ATGAAGGAGCTGCCTTACAACCCCTCAAGCAAAATTTTGAAGAGATTGATTATTTTGAAGTAGTTTTTCTCCTAAAATAGCAATGAAAAGATGCCATTTTTTTAACCTCCAAGCGTTCCAACCTAATTAAGGCAAAGAGCCAGGAAACTAGTTCCATGGAAAATGCCTGGTTACTCAGCTATGGACACATTGGATTCTGCACACAAAATGAACTAAAATGCTGTGGAAAAACTGTGTAAATTGTAATATTATGAAAGACACAAACGGAGTAAAACGAAATACACTTTACTCGTACTCGACATGATTACAACTGAACTTCAAGCTATAACAGAGTACTAAATAAACTAAAGCACCGCGGGAACAGGTCCCTAGAGGCACGTGCTAATGCACATTATAACATAAATGAAGAAATACCTATCAACAAATACCATAAAAAGATCAAGCATATGTCAAAGTTGGCAAAAATGATGTGCATTCTATTAAAAAGCACTGTGGGTAAGACTTTGAAGTGTTTTTCGTTTCACTGTTGTTCGGACTTTATTGTCAGTTTTGATTACTGTTGAAATTTCCGCATAATCCAGTGTGTTTTCCACATAACCGACACATTTTTTCGCATTTTCTCCTCCCAAAATTTCCATGTAATTTGTTATTTTTTTCTGCACCCTGTCAGATGGCATGATTTTTAGACTTAGAATATTGATTTTAAATTTTGTATCTTCCTTCAAGTTCTTAAGTGCAAATGTAACAGGAGGTGGAACATTTGAATGTAAATTATAAGTAGATGTTAATGAGTACGTCTGCGAAAAGTAGAAGATAGTGTACTGATCACCAAGATAGGCTTAAATTAATGTGTTTCAGTTGCTGTTTAAGGGAAGCATTTTCCCGCAGGAATGGCCAATTCCCTATGAGATATGCCTGCAGGGAATCATGGTAGTTGTATTCATCATCTTGGACTGGATATTAGCAGAGTTCCTGTATGCCAAAGGCATGCAAGTGGAAAATGCTGAAAAAAGCATCAAAATTTCCTCTGGGGCATGCCCTGAGACCCCTTAGGAGCCTAGTGCCTTCTGCACTCAAAAGTAGCGTACTGCTTACTTTCAAATTTGGGACCTCTACTTCAGAACTTATTGACAGCCCTACATGTGTACGCCAAGCCCCGTAAATAAATAAAAATAAATAAATAAAATAAATTAGCTTTGTTTAATGAGGGTAACACACAACAGTCTTACGACTGATAAACCCGTGGCCCTTGAATTCCTGATCAAATTGGAATTTGGTCCCATACCTTGAAAAATAAGAGAGTAGCACCATTACCATAGGCACATCTCCTTGTTATGGTTAATTGACAGCTGTCAAAACAAGGTATTCGCTGACCAGTATCACATGACCATATCATGGGCTCAGGTTTAGAGCTCATCAAGGTTGCATGTTTTTTTAGAAGTTGACCACTGCCCAGTTACTGGTTTTTGAGTGGATTCTCTTTGGAGGAGAAGGAGGGAGTATGCATAAAGGCAAAATTTTGGCACAAATTAATCCCTGGCACATTGTTGACTTTTCTTCTGACATATTCCTTGTATAATCCTCTCTTGGACACGTAATTTCCATAATCTCAGAAAAATTGGGTACACTTATGGTTTGATAAAATTTAACTGGAAAAATAGTGAAACCACACGCTGAACAATTTCATGCTCACAACATTGATCATTTTTTGAGTTTCTGATCCAAGAAAAACAAATCTTCTTTTTCCTTTCGGAATTCTACAGTATTAATTAAAAGTACTCTGTTTTGTTTTAATCTTTTAGAAGCATCCAGGGCAAGGAACATCTGATGGAACATTCCGGAACAAGCGTTACTTTACCTGCCCACCAGATTCTGGTGTCTTTGTTGGACTTGATAAATTAACACTTAGAGAGGATCCTGACTCTGAATCTCCAAAAAAAGATGAAAATGCTCAAGCTAACTTCAGATCACGACTAATAGATACAGTTATGCCATCTTTTCTTAAAGGAAAAAATGAACGAAAGTTGCCTCAGGGAAGAATTAACCAGGTACTTGAAATTGATCAAAGAGTTGTGACATTCATTGAGGATCACCCAGCCAGAGGAACTGTACGTTATATTGGCCAAGAGGAAGGTTCAAGTGGAAATGTGCATACAGTTGTAGGACTGGAAATGGTAGGTAATCCAAACAGAAGTTCAGAATTTTACCAAATTGTATTTTTGCTTTTTTACATGTTGCATCCTGCATTAAACTTTTCTAAAACAACTTACACAGGGTTCGTACAGGTCATGGAAAACTTGGAAAGTCATGGAATTTAAGTGAAGGTCATGGAGGTTCATGGAAAAGCAATATGCTTTTGAAAAATATAAAGGCAAAAAGATAAAAAATTTGAAAAAATTACTGACAAGTCAGAAACAGACTTTAATTTCAGTGGAAATAGACACAAGGATGCATTTTTTGCATTATAATGCTGGAAAATATGTGAAATAAATGATTGTTTTGATACTACTGTGAAAACAGCCGCTTAAGTGTGGTCATGGAAAACTCGGAAAGGTCATGGAAAAGGTCATAGAAAGTCATGGAATTTTAAAAGCTTCAAAGCATACGAACCTTGTTACAGTTCTTCAGGATTTTCATTAATTTTTCAAGTAGAAGGGCATCTGGTATAAAGTAGGTAGGTACTCGAGTTAGTTGAGGGTGAAAGGCCCAAGCACCTAGCTATAGGAGGGTCCAGGGGCATGCCTCCCAGAAGATTTTGAAAAATTGAACTCCCAGGAATGCATTTTCCTTGATTCTGGGAGGGAAATTAGTGTTTTGTCATTAGTCCTCATTTACACAATTCTACCAGAATTAAACAGTGTTAGACATTACGGGATCACTCGCTAAAAGTAATGCGTCATGCATTCCGTTTTGGTTTTACTCTCGGGCGCTTTTAGTTTTAGCAAAGCCCGTAAGTCCTGAATTTATGTTTTCCTATTCAGCAGACAGAGAAATGATTTTTAAGCCTGTGGTGCAAAACATTTAGCTTTTTATAGGCTATTTGAATAAAGCAATTGCATTATGCGTAAATTTTACTTTCAGGTTCAATGTGCTGTAATGAGATAATAAATGCAAATGCAAAATAGTGCTCATGTGAGTTACTGTTACTCTTATATTGGCATGCAAAACTTGAAATGCATTAATTAAAGTTACTAAAACTAACCTTTCGATCTTTTGGACACAACTGAAAAAAAAATTATCCAGAATGCCTTGAGATCTGCGTTTGCTCGCCCTGATGAATTTGATGGTTTTAATGCACAGGACTGTGAGAACGCATGTGCTTACAAACATGTGGCATGTCAGGTGTAAGAGTTATGTAACAGCAAAAGCACTTCACAGGAGAAAGGCCCGATGAATGCAAAGTGCAACCATCAAAAAACCACTTTTCTTGCAAAAGAAATCGATGAGAGGTAATTGACAAAAAAGGGTTTTTAAAGGTAATATTCCACTCACAAAGAATAGTTAATTTTTATTAGAGGCTGACATATGTATTTTTTTTTTTAAATTTTGTACTTAACATACTTAAAGAAGCCGGGTATTCCTTTCAAAGTAGATGGGTACTGGTACCCGGGTCCCAGCTTCTAATAACAATCCTGGTTCTTGTTTGGATGTCATAACCCAGCTACTCAGAGATTTGCCCCATGCAAAACATGTAACAGTTCCAACTCCGGAAGTGACTTTTTTTAGCATTTTGCCTGCTTTGTTTTTTAGCTGTTAGCTTATGTGTATGTCTTTATTCCAGTTAGGTAAGTTATTCCATTATAATAACAAGACTTATTTCCACATACAGTCAACCCCTATTAAGGTGGCTCAATCGCATTTTTGAGCAATGATACCATTCAACTTTGGGCTACTAGAGCACCACCATAATCAATCCAACAGAAGATCAAATGTTACTCGTGTGCTAGAGAAAGATGAACATTTAAAATGGGGTACATTTCACCAGGATCTGAGTTACCATAGCGATGAAATGATGCCATACCCCATTTTACATAACACGGAATAACTTGAACTTAAAAAAGGTACCCCTTTCACATATATGTACCTTCTTAAAAACATTGCATCCTTTTCTAAACCCTCGGAATGAAGTTAATAAACAGCTTACTGGAGAACATCATGTTAACCAGAAAAACAAGTATTGTATATTCAGTTCATGTTCATGTTGGATCTAAATGGCGGATTATCCTACCCTTTCATATACATCAACTTGTGAAATCCCATTTACCTTTTTATTTACCTTAATAATAATTATAATAATTATAATAATAATAATAATAATAATAATAATAATAATACTTGATTTATATAGTGCTATTTCCCTTTAGCTCAATAGTGCTTTACAATAATCACAGTTCAAAGTTTACAATTACACGTTTTACAGTTACATGTATAGTGGAAGCTAAAAATGTTACAAATTTAAATATTTCTCAATTACTCTTACTAATAATAACGATAAAAATTCAAGTGAGAACTATGTCACATGCTAATCTAAATTAAAACATTAATAAAAAGGTGTGTTTTCACATGGGTCTTGAATTCCAGTAGCGAGCTACTCTGCCTGATATCATCAGGAAGAGAGTTCCATAGACTGGGTGCTACAAAAGAGAAACACCTATGGCTATACCTTACTAGCTTGACAGGTACATTCAGTAAGTTTTTAGAGGAAGACCTCAAACTCCTGGTTGGTACAAAGGGCCCTAGCAGTTCAGTAATGTAGCAAGGGGCCTGGCTGTTGAGTGCTTTGTAAGTCAGAAGTAATATCTTGTAACCAATATGCTGGCTAACTGGAAGACAGTGTAGCTGCTTTAAAACAGGCTTGTTGTGATCATACTTCCTAGTATGAGTAATAACACAGGCTGCAGAATTCTGGACATTTTGTAGGTGATCTATCAGAAATTTGGGTAGTCAAGGCAAGAGCGAATTAGCATTATCTAGCTTAGATTTAATGAATGTGTGGAGTAACTTTTCAGTGTCTGCTGGAGATAAATAGTCTCTTATCTTGCTAATATTCATGAGGTGGAAAAAGCAGGCCTTGCAGGTACTGGTAACACTCTTAGCTAGCGACATATACTCATTTAAGCTATCTCCAGTGTTCCTTGCTGAGGGGGATGAGTTGATCTGTTCACCAGACACATCAACACATTCTATTGGTGGAGGTGGAAGATGCCATGTACTTAAAATCAATAACTCTGTCTTTCGTCTGTTCAGCTTTGGCTTATTGCACAACATCCACAAGTCAATCTCGGAAACACACACTTCTATATAAGCTATAGAACTAGATTGTTTGGTAGGGGTGGGCTTTAAAGAGAGATAGACCTGAGTATCATAGGGATAAAGATGGTAATTTAGTCCATGCCATCTAATTATGTCCCTGATGGATCGGCCCTAGTACTGATCCCTGGAAAATTCGTAGTGATGTTCTTTCACTTTGGACTTGATTCCATCAATCATCACAAACTGCTTTCGGTCTTGGAGATAGGAACAAAACTATTTTAGCACATTTCCTTTCACACCATAGCGTTTGTCTTTCCAGTATCAGCTCATGGTCCACAGTCGTCCACGGTATCAAACACCACAGACATGTCCAGCAGCAGCAGAACAACATATTTCCAATCATCCATTTACCCAAGAATGTCATTTTGCACCTTCAAGAGAACAGTCTCCATGCTTTGAAAGCGTTTGCACGCTGACTGAATAGATTCCTCTAGATCATTATCGCATAGGTAATCACCCAGTTGACAAGATTCTGTCTTTGCGATTATCATTGATATGACCTTCAGATTTGAGATAGGTCTGAAATTTGGGTAATTCTCAGAGTCCAGGTTGTCCTTCTTCAGCTTCGGTTTGATCATCGCTTCCTTCAGTGCAGCAGGCATAGATGCTGATCGGAATGACATGTTAACGATTTTAGTTAGAACAGGTAAAAGAGTTGATTTCTATTCCTTTAAAACAGAAGTCGGTATAGGATCAAGATCACCAGATCTTTTAATGACTTTTTACCGATTTATCTGAAGGCTGAAAAAGGTATCACTTTCAGGCAGAGCTTCCCCATATAGCCAGGAGTCAACCTTTTTTTAATTCAGTGCAATTGTGTAGCTGACACTGGATATAGTTTCTGTTAAGACTGCACTTCCTTGTTATAAACATTTTTACTTTGCAAAGGCTTGGGTGGAAATGTGGTAAAGAAAAAATCAATAATTTTGTGGAAAAAGATTGAGTTAAGTCCATGTTCAGTTTGAAATTGAGGTTTGATCAGGCATACAGTTGAACCTCTCTACAATGGCCAATTGGGGACAGGGGAAAGTGGTTGTTGTAGAGAGATGGCCATTATGGGGATGTAGGGGTGTAATATGATGTCTGTTCTTTTCAGGGGAAGCAACACATATATATTTTGAAAATGCTTGATTTTAGCCCTTTAATACGTAAGACAATCAAAATATATCAATAGAGCAAAAGCTAAAAAGAAACAGAGCAACCATGCGTATTATGGATCAAGTTTGGATACCATTTTCCAATAAAAAAAATGTGGTTTTGTATTGACCGTTCGTCAGTAATTGATTAACTGACCATTGTCAAGAGGTTATTTGTGCAGTTGGGGCACGACTTAGAGGCCGTTGCCTTTGTGGAGAGGTGGCTGTTGTAGGGAGGTTAAAATAAGAGTGAATGTATACATGGACTTTCTGCCAGGACCAAAAAAAGTGGCTGTTATAGAGTACTTTTACACTGCCAGGTTAAAAATTGGCTTGTGGTAGGACAAAATCAATCATACGTTGAAAGAGAAACTTATGTTTGTGTATTGGGATCTAAATGGAGATTTGATTGAAGGGCATTAAAAAAAATCTGTCATAGACACCTAAAACAATAATTATATTAAGTACAGTTAATGTTACTGATGTACCTGTGATGATTTGACTGTAAACAAGTGTGTAATGTAAAAAAATAGTTTGATTCTAATTTACAAATTACACCATTTTTTTTAAAAAAAAAATCTGTACTCAAACTGTGCATGTGGTTGAAGATGGAGGCATGTTGTAATGAGAATGTTGTTGTGGATGACTAGTAGATAAGTAACCGTAGCTGAGTTGCATGGCCGTGATCAAATGCCCATGGATAATTATAAAATAACTGAGCTACTGTACTACGTGCACTCTCATTGGTCAATAGGTGTGTTTAGATGAAAATATGTAAACACGGTTGGGACATTTTAGATTCACACTAATTTTTGAGAATTATTTTATAAATTAAAGCATCAGAGCACTTTTTCCATGTTTACATAACCTCATCTAAACATGAGGAGGGTTGGGAGAATTCTTGAAAGTTATGCAACCCTCGACTATGCCTTGGGTTTGCATAATTGTCTTGAATTCTCCCAACCCTCCTCGTGTTTAGATGAGGCTATGTAAACACAGAAAAAGTGCTCTATAGCGTAAATATAATATGTTTTGAAGAGCTGCACTGATATCATCTGGTATTAAGCAAAGAAAGAAAAGAAAGGAGTATTGACTGTACATTTTCATTTTTATTTAGGATGAGAGAGTTGGGAGTGGAACTGGCAAACGGAATGGACGAACGGTCTTTGTTTGTAAGAGAGATTTTGCGAAGTTTGTTGCTATTGAAAATGTTATACGGGAGGAAGACTTTGATGAGAACCCTAAAGAGACTACATGTACAGGAGAGAGAGCACTGGACAAACAGGATGCTATTCAGGAACAAATTCGAAAAGATGAATCCTTGGCGAAATCAATGAGTTATGATTATAGATCATCGGGCAAGTCTTGACTTTTTATTTAGTAATGTCTGACTGTCGATGTGTGGCACAATAACTAGCTTTACTTTGATGTAGTTTAACTGCCCCTCTAATTTTGTTAGTTTTTTTGTATGATGTAAGTTTGATAAGTGTAAAATTTGGAGAATTGTAAGAAAAAAAAAAGGCTTGAAAAATATGTGCCTTGACATGAAAAAATGATGTCACTGCAGAACTTAGTACAGACAGTACATTAATTGTGATAGATGTAGCTGGGTAAGACATATGAAATCAGAGTAGGGCTTGAAAAAAGTACTGTCTGTCTGAGGACAAGTACATGTACATGTTAATAGTATTTCTTACCAGGCAAGTAACTTTTTTATTCTCACTCAGAGGGGCACAGACCAGTCATCTGCCAATCATATTTTAAAGTTTAAGTACATGTAAACAAAGATTTGTCCAGGCCAAGCTTAACTCCTGTGACTGCTTTAAAATGTTGGCTTTTGATGATTTCATGGTGAAATGATTTTTTTACTAGGTTGTGGGCAAGCCCAGTTGTTTTTTGTGTTCTGGTTGAAATTGTATTATTTAAGTGTGCCCGAAACAAAGGAACAGTTCAACTTTAGAGCTTGGTTTTAGTCTCTTCTATTTTTGTTTTCATTTTAAAATGTGAAATGAATTCCTTTTGGGTCCATTAAGACTTTGTGTAGACATGTACATTCCCTGTGTTGCACTGTGCCTTTCATGCAGAAGGTGGTTAAACTTTATCCACTGGGGTTTTCATTGATTAAACTCCCAGGTCCAGTTCTAATCTCATTTAGCTTCTCGTATTGAACATGTGCCATAAATTATTAATATCTTCCCTAGGTGGGGAATCAGTAAGAAAAGTTCGCAGAACAAACTCAGTCAACTCAGCTGATGTAATTAGGGCTGCTGGGGAATCCAGCCAGACAGATCCTACTGCATTCATTGAGCAACAACATCAGATCTTTAATGAGATGAAGAATGCAAAAACATCTGGGAAGAAAGATAATGATGGAGATGTGGACATGCAAGATCAAGACAGGACAAGCCAAATAGACTTTAAAGATGATCATTTCATGTCCAATAGCAATTTCAGAGATGATAGACCAATCACAAAGCAGCCTGGCTTATCCAATGCGGATTTGGGAAGTCAAGATGCTGCAAGGCAGGGATCATACCATGACTTCGTCCACATTGAAAAGGAAGACTATGACAAGACGGTCCAAAAACATGAAGTTCATAGAAGTGGTATGTTGTTAAAGCACCCTTTTCTTATTTGCTCTACATACTACATTTGGTGTTCTGAAATTGATTAGACTTAACTGGATTTGCTTCATTAAAGCTCTGCAATTGAAGTAAAAGTTTTTTTACTGCCTACTCCACCAATTTTAAACAAAGTGATATTTCAACTTGGCCAGGCATGTTTTCATTGCTGTGTGCATCAGTTATCTGGTATCTTTATTAACCGCATGGCCATGGGCTGAGCGCAGCTCATGGTTTACCCGTGGTTTATTTTTTTTTGTTATTTTTTTTTTTAGTTTTGTCGGTGACCAGACCCAAACTTCCACTCGGTCAAATTTTGAATGACGCAACCTGTGATGTTTACTCGCCAAAAGCTGTTGAAACATTAATACAAGGACAATGTTACAGATATTGTTTTCTTTACTTTGGGTACAATATATTTTCTTTCGGTTTTATCGAAGCATTGGATTCGAAGGGAAATAATAAATACGCTAAAAAAAGGTATACGTCAGCCATGGAATTCGCTGACATTGCAGCTTTCACTTTCTCTACATGACAAATAAGATTGTGCTTACTTGGCAAGTTTATTTTGGCAGAAGCAACGGTCATTAATTTATTTGCAATTTTGCGAGCATTTCTTGTGGTTTTAGGCGAATGAGGTAAATTCTTTGGCTGTTTCATCGTAGTGAGTTCGGTGATCAGAAGGAACATTAAATATTTGGAAGCCAAGCAAAGAACATGTCACAACATGCAAGGACTACGTCATTGGTAGGGAAATAACCACCGTACTAAAGATAGCCGTGGATAACGGAAGTCTCAATTATGTGACTCGTGTGACTACCCTTTACTCATGGAAAACGCCAATGAAATTTAATCATAACTTTTAAGAAAGAAAGCAATTGTTAATAGAGTTGTTATCGAATTGTTCATATCGTTCATATCATTCATGCCAGTACATATCCCGAAGAAAGTTCCAGATTAAGACCATTACGTCATCAGATATTTCACAATGGCTACGACTGATGGTGCAATAATAGAAGTTGCATTGATCAAGTGATGTGATGTCTACGGTAAGAAAAGAATCATCAAGGACGGCTTTAAAATGTGCACTGAGTTGTGACTGTAGCGCTAAGCAAACAGTTAAATTTTAAAAGCGTGGTTATAAGATCTAACAGATCTTCTTGTTTTTTTTAGTTTTGTCGGTGACCAGACTCAAACTTCCACTTGGCCAAATTTTGAATGACGCAACCTGTGATGTTTACTCACCAAAAGCTGTTGAAACATTTATACAAGGACAATGTTACAGATATTGTTTTCTTTACTTTGGATAAAATATATTTTCTTTTGGTTTTATCGAAGCGTTGGATTCGAAGGGAAATAATAAATACGCTAAAAAAGGGTATTACGTCAGCCATGGAATTCGCTGATGTTGCAGCTTTCACTTTCGCTATGTGACAAATAAGATCGTGTTTACTTTGCAAGTTTATTTCAGCAGAAGTGACGGTCATTAATTTATTTGCAATTTTGCGAGTATTTCTTGTGGTTTGAGGCAAATGAAGTAAATTCTTTGACTGTTTCATCGCAGCGAGTTCGGTGATCAGAAGAAAAATTAACTATTTGGAAGCCAAGCAAAGAACGTGTCAGAACGTGCAAGGATTATGTCATTGGTAGGGAAATAACCACCGTACTAGAGGTAGCCGTGGATAATGGAAGTCTTGAATTATGTGACTCGTGTGACTACTAATTGCTAGCCCTTTACTCGTGGAAAACACCAATTAAATTTAATCATGACTTTTAAGAAAGA